GGGGGGGGGGGGGGGGGGGGGCTGAAGCCCCCAATCAGATAGGGCAGCTAGAGTGTGGGGTGGGGGCTCCCAGCTCCCCCCAAACCCTCTAGGTCTTGTCTCGGGTCTGGGGGGCTTCGAAGGGTTCAGCAGTGGCTCCTGCAGCTGCCACTGGTGCCTCTTCTATCTCCTTGTCCTCAGACAGTGTGGGCCCTGGGCAGAACGTGTCCCCACGGCCTGCCCGGCCAAGCACGGCCATCCAGCGCCGCTGTAGCTCCTCTGTCTCAGGACTGAAGTACCAGCTCAGGTGGCTCTGGGTGATCTTGAAGACGTGCCGTCTGTCAGGCCGCTCCCCTGCCTCAGGAGGCCCCACCTCAAAGCCAATGAGGGGCAGGCTGCGCTGGGCTTTCACATCCTGGGGAGGAGGGACAGAGCTGGAGTCACCGTGGGACTGGACCTTCCCCTCTTCCCCACCTTCTAACTAGTTTTGCATTTGCTCTTCTCTTTCCCTTCCCCTACTCAAGAACCTTCCATGGCTCCACTGTTATCAACATGAAAATGTCTGAACTGGGGCTAGAATGCGGGCTGGTTCAAATACCTGTCTCCTCCCAAACCCTAAACCAGCTGGGTTAGTCTCTTTAGCAAATGTTTTCAGGCCCTTGTCTGGGCTACTGCCCCTACCTACATGCCCTTCCCCACTCCAAGTTGGACCTAGCAGTGCCCCGTCTCCACTCTTGCTTCTTTCAGAAAGCCAGCTCCCCCAACAACCCAGTGTTCCCTACATACCTTGGTCCACAATCACTCCTTATCTCTAGAGATTTCCTCTTAGGTACAGCTAGGCTCACCCTATCCTCCAAGGCCAAGGAGGGGTCAAGGACTGGGGGGAAGGGAGCTGGCTGGCTTTGCCAGGTGGCTGAAAGGACCCAAGGGAGTAGGATGCACACCTGAGGGGCTCCATAGATGTACAGTACCAAGGGTTCATTCTCAGGGACCACGAACCATGCCTTGTGCCATCCTTTACCACCCTTCTCCATGTAGTGCAGGAAGCTGCAGATGACGCTGTTCTCTGCAGCCACCGAAGCCTGTTTCTGTGGCCAGAGAGATGGGGGCATCAATGTTAACAGAGGCCTAGCCTGGCTCTCACCCTCCACAGTGTAGGGATTGCTATTTCCATGTCTCAGATGAAGACGCTGAAGCTCAGGAGGCAGGAGTGATTTGCCCAGCATCACCCAAAGAGAGCCAAAGCCAGGCTTGTCTGCCTGAGACCATGGTTGCTGTCTCTAAGAGTCAGTGAAAGGGGTGTACAGATCTCAGTGGGGGCATCTAAATGCTAGACAGGCATTCTTAGTTCATTTATTCTTCAAGTCATTCACACATTTATGCCTCACCTTTTCTTCATCTTTTGTCACACATCCATTCCCTATGCTAGCAAGAGGCAATCTAGCATCGTAGTTAAGGGGTTGAGTGGGTGGTTAATGTAGAATTAATGTTAATTCTGGCTCAGAATCCCAGCTATAGATGAAAATGTATTGACTCGAATGCACAGTGGGCTGTTGTGAGGATTAAATGAATTAATATATGCAAAGCATTTAGAATAGCTCCTGGCACAGAGTAAGTGCTCTTTAAGTGTTAGATAAATACCTCCATTTGTTTAAATAAGAAAACCCAAAATGTGTGTATGCACACACCTAGAAAGATAGGAAGGATAAGTGTTAACAGTGGTAACTTCTGGGTAGAAGGCATATGGTGTATTATTTTTTGTTCATATTGTCCTACTTATCTTACTTTGTAATAAGAAAAGTCAATTTGTTAATTTAAAGAAATGCCAGCTCTGTCACTCATTGGCTGTGTAACTTTGGTATTGGCAAATAACCTCTCTGGGCCTCAGTTTCCTCATTTGTAAAATAGAGATAATAATTGCATGGGCCATTAATACTGTGAGAATTAAATGTCTAAAGCACTTCAATAAATATTACTGTTTTTCATTCACTCTTGCACTCATTTCATTCACTTCAAGCCTGCGTCACTTGACCAGTATATGCACACAGCACCCTACTGTTTCAGAGATGCCCAGGCCTCCTCAGTCACACTGGGTAGGGGGCTGGGGCCTATTTGGTTGCTGTGGAAGTATTAGTTGGGGCCTGGCTCTTACCTCCAGGATGGACCTCCGGCGCTGGGGTGTATGCTGGCTGCAGGCTGGACTGCTCCCGGACACCCCATGCAAGGCCACGTAGCAGTCAGTGCACACACGGTTGGAACGGTTGTTGTCATAGATGAGGCGAGCCCGGAACTCGGAGCACTTCCCACAAACCACCTGGGGTGGCAAGTGGGCAAGAGCAGCCTGATTCCAGTGGGCCTTCCCCTTCAGTGTACCAACTCCCACAGTAGACTTGTGACCTCCCCCCCCTCGGAGGGTATCCACTCAGAAGTGGGCCTTTGGGCCATCAGCCTGTCCCCTCCCTAGCTGTGCCCCTGCCTCCCAACACTCACATGTCCACAGGCCTTGCAGTGGTGCCTGCGTTTGGTGATGGAATTGAAGGGCTCCTGGCAGCGCATGCACATGGTGACTTCCTTTTCCCGGATAGGTGTAGGAGCCCGCTTCCCAAGATCCATGTTCTGGGGGGAGGGCCAGGTCCCAGGTCAGAGATAGCTACTCCCCAACCCAGTCCAGCCAGCCCTTGCCCCTGCCCCAAGGCATTGGACCACCAGCAGCAGATACATTCAGAAGACGTGCCTTTGAGTCCTGGCTCTACTCCTGTCTCACTGTGCTACTGAAGACAAGTCACTTTTACTTTCTGGGCCTCAGTTTCCCCAATGATTTCTCTGTGGCCCTACCAACAGAAGACTATGCTTCTGAGGTCATGAACTGCCTCTCTGGGAAGGGGAGAGTATCATCGCAAGGTCAGGTGGAGACTTGGAGGTCTGGAAGGGGTCCCAGTGCAGGGAGAGAGAATGGAGACTCTTACTGGAGAGTTGGGGGGGGTGTCTTCATCTTCCCTGTTCGTTGAGTTCAACAGTTTGAAGGTCTCCAGCGTCTGTTCATGCTTCAGGAGGGTGGAGTTGATGGCCTGGGGAGGAGGTGTAAGAAATGACAGGTGAGATCACCCCACAAACCACCCATTTCCGCTCTCACCTCACATTCCTGTGCCATAGCCTGGAGTAAGAAAAGTTGGGGTATAGGCCCAGCTCTGCCTCTGCTAGGTGTATGACCTTGAGCAAGTCCCTTCCCAAATCCATGTCTCAGTCTTATAACTGTAAAATGGAGCAGTGGCTGAAAAATCTCAGGTGGCCTTCCTGGCCCCTATCTGGGTTTAAGGTTTTACAGGGCTTGACTCACTGGCATTATACCCTCAGAAGAACCAGCTTTCTGAAAGAAGAGTTTATGAATTTCTACTTAACCTCTGGACCTTAGTTTGCTTATCTGTAAAATGGGGATAATAAAATTTGCTGGAAGGCAGGTGTCCAAGCCCATGTGATCAGATGTATCTTTTTGGGGAGAGTCCACCAATCCCTAGGAGACCTGTTAATACTCTTCCTGCCCCCTACCACAAAGTCTTCTTGGACGTTACCTGGACCCAGTCTTTCTTCTCCTCCTCAGTCCTTGGGGGGAAAAAAGAAAGATGTTGGGTTAGGCAGGCCAATAAAAAGCAACCGGAGTAGTAAAGAACAGATGTTTTGGAGTCAGACCTGGATTTGACCCTCTGCTTCTTCATTTATTACTTGTGTGACCTTGGGTGAGTCACTTCACCTGTCTGGGTTTGTTTATTGAACAATTCCAGACCCTGTGGTAGGAACTTGGGCCTCAGAGAGGACTCTGCCCTCAAGGAGATCATGATCTAGTAGAGGTGACAGACAGGGACAATTCAGGGGAATCAGTGCTATGACAGGGTGAAATAGGGCTGAAGAGCCCAGAGGAGGAAACCTGCCCCAGCCTGAAGTTTAGATGGTGGCTTTTAAGGAGCCACCTCAAGGAAGTGCTAGGCCTCAGGTAGAGGGGTAAGGGTGAAGTGTGTGTGAGAAAGAGTGTGGAACGTATAAGAAACCACATCAATAATTCCCCATTGCTGGGATGTCAAGTTTGAGAAAGGAGGGCAGTAGTTTATTTATTTATTTTCATTTGTGAAATGGAGATCATGATTATCACTCTCTGGGTTGTTCTGAGCT